CCTTCTCGATAAAAATTTTGGCCCGACACTAACAGGTCGGTACTGCCGAGCGGGTCAGCACGAGCACTCAATAATTTCCATACTTAGCCCCAAATTTTCAACTCCTCATCAAATTTTCAATCAAATATCAACCTCAAAACCCGTTTTCACCCTCGAAAATCATGTGTGTCGTGCGGCTCGTGGAGCTATTTATCCTCGAACAAAAATGAAAAACCGGAAAACGCTAAAACCGTGGGTTGCCTTGTAACGCCCAGATTTTTATTTACTATTTATGGAGCTCGACTATATTTCCATAAATATTAAATTTCTGAATTTGATGCATTTAGTATATTAATATGCGTTAAATTAAATAATTAGTATTAAAGTTTAATCCATGAATAATTCATTCGACTTTAATTATTAAAGTCGAAATTTTTTCTAAGCGAATTGAAGCCGGAGAATTTGATTATTCGGGCCCAGTTAATTTCGAGTGAATCCAATAATTTTAGCCGACCCATTTTTAATTCGTATAGTCGAATTAATTATCCTAGCCCAAATTCCAGGCCCATTTAAGTGGACTATTTTTATTTCGGCAGTCGGCCTAATTATTTTCTACCCGGGCCTAACTGTTTAATCGAGACATTGTAAGTCCAAGTGTAGCATTTTCCTAAACCTAAATGTAATGAATTTCCTAGCCCAAGTTATGTGATACTAAAGGGCCCAAATTTCAAGGTACTACCTTAACTTCTCAGGCTGATATTGAATCTCACATAGCAGAATTTTACTCAGAGCTGTACCACTCAGAAGGAAGTTGAGATGGAGATTCTATCATACACCTTATTCCAAGAACAATAACTGAGGATATGAATGAAGATCTTTTGAAGCCAGTCACTGAAGCTGAAGTGAAAGCAGCTCTATTCTCCCTCCACCCTGATAAATCCCCAGGGGAAGATGGAATGAGTGCATTGTTCTACCAACATTTTTGGAATCTGATCAAGGAAGATATTTTGGAATCCATGATGAGCTTCTTTCAATCAGGATTACTTTTGAGGTATTTGAACCATACCATCCTGTCTTTAATTCCTAAGGTACCACTGCCTGAGACCTTGAACCAATTCAGGCCTATAAGCCTCTGCTGTGTTATCTACAAGACCCTGTCTAAAGTTCTGGCTCAAAGGTTAATGAAATGTCTTACCAGCTGCATCAGCAATCAACAATCAGCTTTTGTGAAGGACAGACAGCTTATGGACAACATCATCATAGCTCAGGAGGCTTTCCACTACCTAAACAGACACTCCACAGGTCCAAATTATTTTATGGCCTTAAAGCTAGATCTTATGAAAGCCTTTGATAGAGTTGAATGGCAATGCTTGCAGAGGATAATGAACCAAATGGGTTTCCACCCTGATTTTGTCAAGTTGCTAATGATTTGTGTATCTACTACTACTGTCTCTTTCAAGGTGAATGGCAAAGTTAGTGGCTATATCAAACCCTCCAGAGGTATCAGGCAAGGGGACCCTCTATCCCCTTACCTTTTCATAATTGTTGCAGAACTACTGTCAGCCATGATCACTAACTCTCAGCAGCAAGGTGACATCCAAGGGCTCAAACTCTCTAGAAATGGCCCGGTTCTATCTCATCTGCTTTTTGCAGATGATTCTCTTTTGTTCTGCAAAGCAGGGGCCGATCAAGCTGGTCATCTTTTAACTCTGATGGAAAAATACAGGTTGTTTTCTGGACAGAGGGTCAATATGCAGAAATCCAGTATCTTCTTTAGCAGGAACACTCCTCAAGCATTAAGAGATAGAATCTGCAATGTTCTCAATGGGATAGTCCCTCATAGGTCCACAAGATACCTAGGGCTTCCTTTAGGAATTGGAAGGTCTAAGAAGGAGGTCTTTGATTACATCTTGGACTCTATAAGATCAAAACTGCTGAACTGGAAAAACAATCTTTTGTCACCTGCGGGTAAGGAAGTTTTGCTGAAATCTATGATTCAAGCTCTTCCTATTTTCTCTATGACTTGCTTCAAGCTCCCAGTTGCCATCTGCAAAGAAATTTCAAGGCTTTGTGCTACATTTTGGTGGAAATCTGGAGATCAAAAAGACTCTGGAATTCATTGGAAGAGTTGGGAAAAAGTCACAATTCCTAAGCTGAATGGAGGTCTTGGTTTTCTGGACATCAGTCTCTTCAATCAAGCTCTAATATGTAAACAACTCTGGAGGATTTCTACAAACCCTGATCTTTTGGTGAGTCAAATTTTGAAAGACAGATACTTCCCTGAT